TCACAGCGGCCGCCAGTTCATATTTAATAAAGCGAAAAAGTTAAAACCCTAAATACACATACATATGCCATTTTTTCAGTTCCAAATATTTATTTAAAAAAAAAGTTAACACTTATGCCCTGCAGAGGGTTAAGTGTGCATACAGCAAATTTTTGCCACAGTTTTCCCCGCTGCTAACGACATGCAAATTAATTCGATTAATAAATTTGTTTGTTTATTGTTCTCAAATAACGGCAGTTGAGTAGCTACTTTCGCTGTCGACGCTGTTGCACCCTTTGGTTATTTCCGCGCTGGTTTATTTTTTTTTCTTTTACTCAACAAATTGATTTAATTTCCTGACTACCAAGTGACTGAGGCGCACTTTAATTGCACTCGAACGACAAGCGATATCAAATATTTTTTTAGAGTACACACATACATACATACAGACATGCACACGTTAGTGTGAATCTTAGAATGCATCCTACAGCTCTGCTTGTGCCTTCTCACTGTCTTCCGCATTGACGTGTCGTTTCGCCTGCGCGTCGTCACAGCGCGTGTCAAGTGATCGTAAAGCGACTGTCAACTTGTGGCCATTTAACAAATTTTGCCATCAAAATGAGAATATACAACGCTGCCAATATTACTAAATGGAATATGCGCGCTGACATTTTGAAACTGCCAGCTAGCCATCGTTGGTAGAGGCGCTCCGAAAGAGAAGGTCCTTTCCAGGACATTAAACGGAACCTACCTGCAACCTGTGCAGGCTTTTCATTTATATGTACTCGCGTATGTGTGGATATGGATCCGTATGTTTCAATATATGTATATGTATGGGAATGAAGAGACATTTATACATAGTTTCATAAATATGCGTGCACATTTCGCACACCGTCTTCAAAAGAGTCACAACTCGAAATTTGGCATTTTTGAGATTATGCGCTAAAAATGCATACAGAGCTTTTATTTATCTTTCAACAAAATCTGGAGCAAATTTTTGTTATAATTTGTTATAAAAAAACGTAAGGTAAAGTCGCCCTTGCCCATATGATTATCATGTGCTAAGAAATAGTTTTTCGCATTTTCAGACAAACGTGTTATTTTAAGTTGGGACTCTTTTGAAGACGGTATGCGATATGTATGTACATACATATGTATGTGCTACGTTTTTATGCAAGTCGATCATCAACCATTCGAAACGATGCAACGTTGACGGCAATAATAAAAACTATGCTCATGATAACCAACGGCAAGGACCGCAACCAAAAGCAACAACAACAATGATAACGAGAGCGCGTCCAATGTAGCAGCAGCGATATACATAACTCAGCGAGAATACCAAAATTGATGATGGCTTCAATGTTGTTGCGGCTAACCGTAACAAACGTGCACACAAACATACATACATATAGGCAATAGCAGAATAAGTTCATGCATTGACGCACTGAAAATCTAACTACCCAATAAACATTTAGGTTTGAGCTCAACTTGAGGTTAAGTTGAGAACTAAGGTACTTCTCAAATCTCCAACGTTGTTTTTCAACAGTACCTCAAGTGTAGGATCATAGTATTCTCAACAAAAAGGGCCTTTTTCTTTGTATGAAAATAGGGCTGTTTCTCAAGTTGAAAAAAAGCTAGTGCTCAACGTGAACTCCAACGTGATTTTCCAATTGGTCTCACACGTATGATTGAAATACTAAAATTAGAATAGTAAAAATGTAATTTATACCTTTCTGATTGAAACGACATAGATAAATTTAAATATTTTTTTACTCGTTTTGTAGTATATAGTTAATCAATATCGTATTACCATAATTCATAAATAGTCGTCCGTCTGCAGGCCTACCACTTGATTCACTTCGCATTTCATTTTCGTTGAAGACATTTACTTTTTGCTGGTAATTTTCCTCTTTATATAGCTTTAGTTTTTCAGTTAATAACTAAAAATTGGTTCTCTATCACTTTTTACGATATACATTCGAATGCATATGTTTCGCCAACGCTGCCACTTTGATATTTTTGTATATTAAAAGCAGTGCTGCCATGTTGGAGACAATTTTTTTTCTCAACTTCCAGTCTGTGATAAGTGGGAAAATGATGTTGGATATCAACTTGAGAACAACGTATTTCTCCAAAGTTGGAGAAATATTTGTTTGGTGTTTGTTGGGTTACATTGCCTATACATACAAGGACCACCCTAAGTCCAAAAGAAAAGTTAATGTGGGAATTTTAAGGCTCTCACCCCCTAGGATGGGATGACGAAAAATTTGTGAAAGTGCTTTGCATTTTAGTGAAAGGAAATTAATACGGATCTGCACCATTTGTTTGAAAGGTTGCCACCTTAAAAAAAATGTATTCAAACTATATGATAAGTTACAAATCTGACCTTTGATAAAAGCCGGCTCCAGATTTCGTTACGAAGGGAAAACGGATAAGATGGCGTTATACACTTATGTCCAAAATAACAGAAACGAGTTATTATATATGTTTGGTTATTTTTTTATATTGTATTTTTATGAAATCGCAGCTCATTATCTCACAAAAGGCATATAAATTCAAATCTGAAACTTTGTGCGAAAATTATAAAAATTCTGCAGGTTTGCATATAAATTTTCAACATTTTAAACAGATTTGTTGGAATTTCTATATTCAATAAGCAGTTTAAAGGCCCATTAAATTTTATTATAACAAAGTGTAATTGCTAAAGAATCGCGTTGATTTTTGATAATTTATTTTCTGACCTTTTTTCCATACAAAAAAAATGTCGAACATACTTTTTAGGGAAGAAAATGCGTGAAAAAATAACCATTGAATAAGTTAATAGTAAAAATTATTTTTAAAACAAGATTTCCAATATGAAGTTTATAAAGCTATTCCTTTTCATACAATTAATATATGTTTTAAATGTTAGCCAAATCTTATGATAAATAAGGGTTTTTCAAATATCTCGATTCCTGCGCCACCTAGCGGGTTCTGAGCCAACTGTGAAGTTTCAATTCTTCAGATCAGCTGGAAGTTGGTCAAAAATGTATTGCAAGATTTGCCTAAACAAACATACATACAGAGCAAGTCAAATAAAAACTTCTAAAATCAGCGCGGTTCTTTAGCTGCTTAAGACTTACACCTTATTATGCTAAAATGTAATGAGCTATAAAACTTCGCCTAAAAAAATAGTGAGCTACATTTTTACAAAAAAATAAAAATTACAAAAAAAAATAAATAATAAATATTTAATAAACAAAAGAAATATAGGTAAAACTGGTAAAAATATATCTTCGTGGAGTGATAATAATTACTGTTAGTCAAAAATCTAAGCCAAAATGATAACAATACTATTAAAAATAGGTAAAAGTATTCAGTGAAAAGCTCCACATGGAATCGAGGAACGGATCTCACTCCTATGTGGGGACTTTTATATTATATTTTTTAGTTTTGATCTGTATCGTTATTGCAGAATACCATCGACATCTGAGCAGAAAGACGTTTCAAAATCAAGCTGACGTTTTTAAACGCTCCATAGCACTCGCAAATGGTACTCCTACAATATGGGCACTGGTATCTGGAAGCTAGCATTAATTTTCTTGTTAAATTAAAAATTATATCACAGCAGATCTTCAATAATAATCGTATCACTTTTTTTTTCTTCCGCACAACAACCACAATCTGAGGTAAATCAAAGTTGTCAACGACTATCCAGATATTTATGTTTATGGTAACGTTAATAACACCACATATTTATTAATGCAGCAATAAAAGAAGCGGAATGTTTTTGGTTTTTTCTTATACGTATATACATATGTTAGTTTTTGTATGTATGTATTCTTTTTTTCTCTTATATCTTTATAGTATTCGAGCAAGTAGTAAAACTGTCACTACTTGCAAAAAAAATATATATCATAAAATTTGCAGCTTATCGAATAACAACCACAACTACAAGGGCATACGAGAGACTATGCCACAAATACACTGATAATAGTGACAATATCGCCAACAACACAATGTTCGAGCGGCCACAGTAAGCCGCAGTGCATGTGTGTGTGTGTATATAGTACATTTGTACATGTATATGTATGCATGCATATGTATATAAAATGGTGGCGAATATTTTTACACTGTTAGCGGAAGAAGCGTCAATCGGTAAACGGAAGTGAAAGCTAACGACCGCATTTAATGGCATTTTTCAAACTGTTGCATGCCACAGACAGCATGTTGTTGGAATGAAATATGTACGTAGGTTGCGCGGTTACACAGATATCGAGTGTTAGCGGTGAATGTGCCAGTCCTGTATACATGCACTAGGTATGTATGTATGTATGTACTTATGCGTTTTCGCTTACAAATATACATATGTACTTAATTAAAGAAATATGTTTACTTACATGGCCAGCTTTTTGTGTTGCATTCCACATAGAGGTGGGTGGGTAGTGCAAGTTGAGCTCGCGCTGTTATATGACTTAAGGAATATTTTAATAAACACTATAATTTTTTCATGAAGTTTTATTTGAAATTTAACTTAAAATTCACCGAAAATAACATATTTTCACTTTACGAAACACGTACACTGAATTTCGGTTCGCAGATTACGGATCTGTGTGGTGNATTTAACTTAAAATTCACCGAAAATAACATATTTTCACTTTACGAAACACCGACACACGTACACTGAATTTCGGTTCGCAGATTACGGATCTGTGTGGTATGCGATCGAGATTTGGTTGTTTTCCCAAGATATTTTCATTTTAGGTTTGATTTGCGAATGAAAAAAGATTTAAACTTTAACGTGGAAAATGTAACTCATGGCGTATGATGTACGAGTACGGCCATGGACGATGTGGCGTACGATGTGAGTAACATTATTTCCTGTTCCTATTTCATACAAAAAAATTATTGCACATTTTCATTTGACTTTTCAAAAGCGGTTTATTCATCCATCTATTTTCATCGTTAGTAACTTACTTTTGGTAAAAGAAGAGACTTTTATTTTTAGGGAAAAATATTGCAAAAGATTTGGTAAATTTGTATTTTTTTCTTGTTAAAACTTGATTTTTTTTCATCTATGTAAATTAAAATATCTTGGGGAAATTACCTGATCTAGAAAAGCAGACAACTGGTTCGTAATCTGCGACTCGCTTTTTTGTGTCATTTCAAAACTTGGGATTTTCCCTTCAGTATACTTAGTCTGAAAATTATAATATATATTGGTGGAAGTATAGAATTCCTGTGTTTTAGGTTGCTCATCGCTGAGCAAAAAAAGTCCTCTCTCTTTGCTATATCTCTCCGCGAAACTTTCCAGCATTAACCGCTTAAAGCGAGGCGTTGTGCTTTTTCACCTGTGCCTTGACATCGTCGTAGGACACCACTGTCTGTGGGAATACAAAAAATGAAAACAATAAAGGCATCAGTGATATCAAACATAAATATATATATGTAGTATGTAATTTTAATTTTGCATATTTTATATAACAACTTCATAACTTAAATATCGAATGACACAAAAGATTTGTGAAAAGAAAAACAGCCAATGAGTCGCCACAATAATGATACTACATATTTATGGGTATAAATAAAAAGCTGAATATGCGTTAAATTGAAAAAATATATATTGAACAAAAAACTTTAAATTCGATAACGCGAAAATTGAAAGCGCCAAATTTGCAGCTCTCATTCTGCACAGCTATTTATGCAATTGTATGATTTTGTATTCTTTTATTTACTTTGCAACATGTGACAGTTTTTTGCCTAATTGTCTGCATTGTTTTCTTTACAATACTTCATATGTAAGAACGTATTTACATATGTATGTAAATATCTACATACATTTGTCAAAATATTTCACACTCCAATAATTTAGCATTTTTCTAGAGTTAATGCGAAAAATGTTTCAGTAAAAAGTGAATTAAGAAATTTGAATTAAAAAATACTATTTATTTTAAACAATTGCATAAAAAATGTACAATGTATTTAACACATATGTATGTATGTACGAGCATAGAAATTGTGTATTTAACAGCTATTTTTTTAAACATGAAATTCCAACACTTTATTGTTTTACGCGAAAATAATTTTCTGCATAAAATAAAGCCACAAGTATCATTTAAATGATTATATTGATAACAGTGCAAAATCGCTTTGTTTATCTTTAAAAATCTGCAGTTTTTTTAACACTACACAAATTGCACTCACTCGCAATTTTATTTTAAGAAGTAAGCAGACATCCCCTAAATTTCGAGTAAATTACGAAAAACCGAAAAAAATTTCAAAAAATGCGCATTTTACTTGAAATTATGGAGGTGTAAGAGTTTAACGGACCGCAGATTCAGAGAACCTTTTTTGTGTACCGGCGCAACTGCTGAATTTAAGGTACACCGGCACACAAAAAAAAACAAAAGTTATCTGTGTATTTAACCCACATACTGACATGCATGTATTTCGACCAGCTGACCAGCTAGCCTTTAGGCTTCATATTTATTTACTTCTATGGTATTCAAAAAAAAAAAAATCTTGGTGCACTTTTGGGCGATTCTCATCCTCACGAGACGCTAAGTTACTCATCAGATACCGGAAAACCATCCACACTCTTCTCTACTATTAAAAAGAACAACTTACAGAGCACTCGTGATGACAATTTTGATATGTTGTAGAACGTTTCTCCGTCATCCCAGATCAAGCTCGGTTTGGAGACGAACCAGTTTTGACCATTTTTTTCGTTCAGCTCGCTTATTGTTGCTTACTGGCAGTTTCTAGACTATCCCCGGTTTCCGAGATTTCTACATAGGCGTATTTTCAAAGGAAAGAACATTCACACAGATATTTCACAGTAGTAGTAAAGGAAGTTTATACTTAAAGGAACTAACTCTACTGAATTTTTTAAAATTGTTAACAGATATCTTAGTCAAAGTTCTGGAAAATTTTTTAATACATAGGCAAGTGGTGTAGTGGTAAGCAGTGCGCGGCTTTCAAGCCCTGGTCAAAGCAGCATCGCAGAAAATATTATAGAAAAACGCTTTTTTTCTTAACAGCAGATTTGAATCTTTGATTATTTTCTCTTTTCGAGTTTTTAACTCACAAAACAAAAACTTTAGCCTTTATATTTGTGGTAACATTGATCCAGAATAAGCATTTTGGAAGTTTTCAGGCAGCATTTTCATTCGATTTTCGCGAAGAAAAGCCTTGAATGTACTAAACGGGCGCTCGACTTGAGTTGATACAAGTGGCGCCCAATTTAATAATAAGGAATAAGGACTTTTTCCTTGCCCTTTAAAACTGAAGGCCAGTATGCAGCGCTCAATAAAACGGACATTTTTTGAAATCAAAATATTTTCTATATAAATTTTTAAATAGCCCCGCTAACGAGATGGAATAGTAGTTGCAGAAAACGGTAGCATATACAACTCAATTCTTTCTTAAGTCGACTTAAACGGTTATTGCTTATGGCCACATATATGTAGCTGCCATGAAGCGGCGCAAAAATTTAGTTTGGAATTTGTTGTTGGGCGCTGGCCCCAAAAAACTTGTCTCCAAAATCCACAACATCAGCCAAATTTGTGCACACATCCCGGCGAAAGAAAAAACGATGAGAACAACGGGCGCCAGAGAGGAGCACAGATTTTAAATCTTCATGATTTTAAATGATTTTAAATCTTAAAATCACGTTTGGTGACTTTTATGCCAGGGTGGGCAGAGCAGTAATATTTGGTCGAACAGTTAGAGAACTCAGTGCTTATACCAATACCGGAAAGAGGTTAATAGATTTCACTGCGGCACGGAACATAGTAGTTAGGAGTACCAAAATCAAGCAAGAACTCGATACATCGTCATGTTCGCAAAACGAACCCACTATTGGAGCATTCCGTGCATAGTTTGTACTAAATTTCTGAAATTAAATACATAGCACACAACAGAGAACAACCAAATAGTACGCCGAGTGCAAAGGACATGGATGTAATGGTTCTTCTACATTCTAGAGACTTTGGATTAATTTGGATTAAACTGAAACGAAGAAAGGGGTAGGATCAGCACACTTGAAGGGACTGCGGGAAAATTTAAGGAAGATATTTCGTATTTTTCCATTATCTCAATGGAATATATTTCCAATATTTGGTATGGGGAAGCTAATGCAAGCAAGGCAACGTTGTTTTAACGCTCTTTTGTTTTGCCTTCGTTGATTCTACTGTATCTACTTAATTGCCTCAGCGAATCATGCTTAGTGAGCGTTGTTGTTGCTGTCGTTTATTAAAATAAGGTGAGTTTAAAAAAGTTATGGCCGAAACTCAGTTGTATTGGCAATAGACCGTACCAGAAAACGAAAAGCTCGTCGTACACTCCTAAGTCTAAAGCAGTTTAGAAAAAAAAAAATTATGGAACTTAGGAATCGTCTTCTTACATTTTGCGTCATATCTCCGGCATTTACAGTCGGATCTTATGTTTAGTATGAGATATCGATATGTTTTTGTCTGTTTGGAGACCATTTCTTCGCTCCGGTTACTTAATTGATCTCAAGTTCTCCAATCTGCTACTTACCTTCAAGATCTCAGCTCCTATCACCTCCACGTGGGTGGTGCCACAAATAATTAAACTTTCGCTAAGAGAGTATTTGTATTATTCCAGTATGTATGTAGGTGTCACTGAAAATGTAAAAAGGCGCTACCAAGGTTAAAAAAAAAAAAATGTTTTTCGAAATTTCCTTGCAAAAATATTTTAGCCTCACTGGTGTACGGCGAACATTGTTTTGTTTGGTTGTAAGATGATACGATCTTATAGGCAGTAATGATCTAAAGTCCCATTTTCAAACCTTTTTGACTCTTCTACATTTATTAAAATATAATGCATTGGAAACTTCGATCTGCTAGGTCATATGTATATGTACATACTGTGACTCAAGGGTGACTTGTTGATTTTTTCAAGTATCAAGTCAACTTTTTAATGTGAATCTTCAAGATATTTTTGGGTATGCAGATTTATATCCCACACAATTTTAGACCAATGAAATGCAACTTTAAAACGGCTAAAAAATCCTGTTGATATTTCAGAATTTTTTGAAAGCTGCTTTCACGTTTTGTTTTTTTCTATAACAAGTGCAATTTACAAAAAATAGCGTGGTTTTTGCCACTATTTATTCTATATGGAGCACCTGTTTATTTAGTTATACGTACAAAATAAAGACACGCAGGAGCATGATTTTTAACAAATTTTTAGAGTATTTTGAATAAATATTATTGAAAGCCATTCACATAAATCCATAAACCCGCTGACTTTTATCTGGCAAAAAAAAATATAAAAAATACGAATTTTTGCGTTTTTTTATAAAGTTTTATTTTTCAGCCCTTGAATTTTAGTGTATTTTCGTTTATTTTGTACGTGGAAAAAAAATTAAGGTGTGATGTTGGTACTTTAAGAACCACCCTAATATATACCCATGTGTATGTATACTCATAATATATTCGTATAGTGGAATAGTTAAAGCCTGCTTTTCAAGGCCTCACCGTACTGTACTTACCTTAGAATAATTTAAAATTTTGAAGTGCTAAATAGTATTTACTATTGCAAATGCTCCCGACTTGATTAAAGTGTGTTTTTGAAACCAGAAATGCGCGCAAAGTACTAATTTCAATCACTGTTTCAAAACTGAGGTAGTCATAAATTTACTTACTTTTTCTTACTAAAGTTATAAAATTTTTCTTATTTAATTTTATGTATATCAAAAATTGAAACACTGAAGCTACTTGAAAAAATTTAGCTAAATGCATCCATAGATATATCAAGATTAAAGACATAAATGCAAACAAAAAATAAATAGCTTTTGAGCTAAAGAATTTTTATTGATTAGATATTCAACTGAAAATTTATTAAAAGCATGCAGATAATTAAACATAAAATTAGAATGATTTAAAAGTATTCTCCCTTAACTCTCTTTCAATCCACCGAACTCATTCCAGCTGACCAACGGGCTCATCATTGACACCCGGCAGACTTTCAGTGCGTCTCATCTTCCAACGTTTCCTCTCATCCACCAATACAAGATCAACATAATCACTAATATCCTTATCACCATCTTCTTTAAGCGCTTTCTTATCGCCCTTACTCTCATCTTTGCCTGAAAGCAATTGCCGCTCTACATTATATTTCGTCTCCACGATCAATTTCAATCGCTTCTCATTGAGCGCTGAATCACGCTTGCTATTGGAGGGATAAAGTAACGCTGCTGTCGATACATTCATTACCAGCATCATCTTCTTCAGATTTTTGACATTGGATACGGTGCTCGCATTTGCGCGCAAAAGAGCTGCCTGCTTTTTAGGCAAATGTTGATCAGCATATTGCAAATCGTGCTTAAATTTTAGCTTTGTATTCAACAACAAACCCA